TCCCTCTTGAAAAAGCAGTGTAATACACTGTAAAGTTATGTGCAATTCAATGTAATATAAACAAGATTATGATGATAATAAATAAATAAATAAATAAATAAATAAAAATAAATTAGGACCAGCAGGTGGCATGGTGGTTAAGTTGCTGGTTATCCACATGGCAAACCATGGTTTGAATCCCAGACCTGGCAGCTTGCTTTCTCACTCTCCCTCTCTCTCTCTGTCTCTCTCTCTCTTTGGTAGGTACATGTGCTCTATAACAAATTAAGAAATAATAATGATAAATAAAAATAATTTAAAAAATTTTTAAATAATAGAAATTTCTAAGGATAGATTTTAAGTGTTTTCATCACAGAATTAAGTATGTGAGATATTGCAAGTTAATTAGCTCAGTTTGGCCATTCCACACCACATACATAGTTTAAGACAACATATTGTACATGATAAATATGTAATTTTATTGTCAATTAAAAATGTATATTTTTCATTGTCAGAGTGCACATGTTCTCACCAGAGAAAGACAGAGAGAGAAGGTACCACAGTAGGGTGTGGTCATGCTGCAATCTCTTCTCCATTTCTCCGTCATGCTGGGATTTCAGGTACATATGCACATGTGCCTGGTATCTTTTTTAAGCCTGCAAGGGCTGAGATTGGCCATGTGGAATCTGGTTCTCTTAACCACTATGCTACAGGGCCAATCTAAAAACATAATTTTAAAAAATAATAAAAATACAGATTATATTCATTTATTCAACATAAAATGTACACCCATTGCGTCAGATCATCAGAGTGTGGAGATCAGACAGACAAAATAGAAAACAGCCTTCTAGAGAATACAGAATAAGTTCACCAGAGAAGGAATGGGCTTCAGAATGTGAACACTTCATTTCCTACAGGACATAGGTACAACAGATAACCTGAATACCTACGGCTATTATAAAGTTATTTATCTTACATATATCTGTATACTATATATATACATTTTTTACACAAACACATAAATGTGATTTATATTTTAAATAAGATTCTTTAAAATTTTTACATCTTCCTCTTATAATCTGATTTGGTCAATTGAACACTGATCCTAATTATTTTAAAAGATATGGTAAATAAGCTTGCTAAATTTCTTCTTGTTCAACTTATCTTGTATGTGGCTTTTGCTTCAGCAACCACGGATCAAAAGGAGGAACATCTTCCATCTAGGGAATTTGGAGCTTCTCAGATCTCTAATTCTGAAAATGGTAAGGAATTATCATTTCAATATACATGTGGATAATTTATCTTTCTGAATTCTTCAATTTTGATTTAACACTTACTTTCTTAACATCAGAAACTGTTTAAGGGCTCTACATGGATATACCATCATGTAATTCTGCTGTGTAATTCACCACCCTAGACATGAAATATGCCCGTGTTTCATGTGCTGCAGCTGTGTCGGCACGTACCTGTGTAGCTGGGAGGACTTCTACGACAGTGTCTGTTTTACTGTCTCTTGTATCTTGACCATCCAGTGGTGTAGGCACTGGAAAATATCTGTTGAAGGAACAACTGCAATTTGTATGTCCCACATCATGAAATACTAGCAAAATATTAAATGTCATTCAATATTAAAGAAAGTAAGGGTGCTGGCAACCCACATGGTCCTACATGGCAACCCTGATTCCAGTCTCCAGCTCACTTAGCCTGAGACATGCTGTCATCTGAGTGCCTAGGATTCGAAGAGCTGGAGGACCAGAGGAAGAGACTCACAGCATGGTCAGATCCTGTAGAGGGTGCTCATCTCTTTCTCACTCTCACGTTCACATGTGTGTGCACGTGTTCTATCATGAATAAGGAAAACCATAAAAAGGGACAAACAGTTAGCATAATGGCTATGTTGCTGAACTCCCATGTAGACGACTGCGGTTCAAGTCCCGGACTCTGTGGCTTAAACTCACACCGGGCATGTGTGTGTGTGTGCGTGCGTGCCCAAGATCCTGAGAGGAGAATGGAGAAGAAGGGATTGCGGTGTGGCCATCCCCCCTGGGGGGTGATTTCTAGCTTTCTGTCTCTCTGTCTCTCTCTTTCTGGCGAGCGCACGCGCCCTATAGCAAACCCCCCCCCCCAAAAAAAAAAACACATAAGAAAGAAAGGAAAGGGAGGAAGAAAAGAAAAAGAAAACAAAGGAAGAAAAGAAAGAAAGAAGAAAGGCAGGAGTTAAAGGACGAAGGCCAGCTCCTGGTGTGGCAGTGATGCACTGCTCAGGTGGTGCTGGGTCCACGTGGAGGGCATGAGCCTGTACACACTGCACGCACTTGTGATCCTGCCTGGCCGGCACTGGGGACCCTATTGAGGGTGCTTCCCTCTCTCTTTCTCTCTCTTTCTTTCTGTGTGTCTCTGTCATTAAATAAATAAAACTCAAGAAATTTAAATAATAATTTAATAAACAAAAGATTGCCCCCAACAATCTAGTATCCTTATGTGTAAAATGAGGTATTAAGACTTAGTCAGGGGGCTGGCAGGTGGCATGGTGGTTAATGATACTGGATTCCCATAATGCCAGCCCTGCAGTTCAAGTTCCGGACCCAGCAGCTTTAAATCACACTGGGCGGGGAACCAGCAGATGGTGTAATAGTTACATTGTCAGACTCCCACATAGTCGACCATGGTTTGAGTCCCAGACCTGTCAGCTTA